CGCAATAGTGATATTTTACTAGAAAATTGATCTCCGATAATAGATCTAGTAAAATATTAATATGCAGTATCACGGGCAAACAATTAGATTAGTTAAATACTATGCCAAATTAATAGATTCATATTATTGACAATTACTAATTTTTTTACAGCTTTATCATATATGTTCTTTAAATGATTGTTTGTAATAAAATAACTGTTGATAAGGCGAATGCCTTCTATTACTAAATTATGATGTCAATGACAAATCTATAAAATATTACGTACAATTAAAAGTTTAATCATAAACCGTGTTTGTCTCTATCTATATAAGTATCTATAATTAAAACAAAAGACATATCCAGTTTTAAAATACTATAAAAATCGTTTGCATTAAAATTATTAAAGCAATTTTTTTTTGAGAATATTCCAATTATTTAAATTTTTTCTCGCGATGTCAAATCATTCAATGATCGAAAAATCAAAATCAGAAATCAAAACTTTTGAATTAGGCGATTATCCCCAAGTCCCTACAATTACTTACCAAGAAACAAAAAATAATTATATACAACGATCATTTAATTATTTTATAGAGGCTGAGGGATTTTATCCAAATGCTTTGGAACTTCGTTATACTTTGCCTCCTAAGAAATACCCAATTCCTGACGATTATTCTATAAAAACTACTTGGGAACGTGGAGAAAATCGACGAACCATCCAATGTAAAATCAAGTACAGAAATGGAAAGCCCAGATTTCAAATTTTACAGTATATGGTACTTCTTTTGAATATGAAATTGAATCAAATATATCAGCTACCAATGCTGCAACAAATTATGAGAAAGCTATAAATATGAATACAAATAAAAAATCTTTATTATCTGGACCTTTATTATTTGGACTACAGCTTCAAAAACTTAGGACGATTAGAGAATTTCATGTTAGACAACATATAACTAAACCCATGGAACAATATTCAGAGACAACCCTTAGAAAACGTGCAAAAGAAATTGCAACAATTCAAAAAGAATTTATTCAAAATGTTGAATTTAAATATAATGCACAAGACTCTATTTCATTAAAGTCATTTGAATATACTGTTAATAATCAAAACTATTATTTTGACTTTGGAAATGAAAATCTTATACAAAAAAAAATAGAGGTTTTAAATATAATTAAAATAATGAATTCATCTTATATTTCACGGGATGTATATAGAAACTTGGCCGCAGTAAATTTTCATTTACCACGCGAATATATTATTGCAAACGAACAATATAAGTTAACTCAGGAAATGATCAATAAGATTCGAATTAAATCTATAGATATGAGCAAGGCAATAAATAATATTAATTTAAATAGCGATATTGAAGAATCTAATTATATAGATTCTGATAATACTATTAATGAGCATCCGAATTTAGTAAGTATAGGTGGTCAACGTAATTTTAAGAAAATATTTCAATATGTAATTCCTTATTTGCTACAAGAAAATACTTTATCAGTTCATGATCCAACAATTCATCTACGAATTTCTGGAGATGGCCGAAACGTAGGACGAAAAGTAAAACATGTCATGATTACATTTATGATTCTTAATGACACAAAGCACCATCATACACCCAATTATCATCATACCGTCGCCTTGTACCCTGGAGTTGAAAAATATGAATTACTCAAAGTTGTATTAAATCCATTTCTTAATGATCTTAGAGATCTTAAAAATAATGGATTAAATGTCGCAAGTGTTCTTTGGCATTTTGAATTGTACTTTAGTAGTGACTGGAAATTTCTTTCTATCTGCCTTGGACTAAATGCCGCAAACTCGACTTACTTTTGTGCTTGGTGTCTTTGCTCTAAGCATGAAATTAGTGATACTACACAAGATTGGCAAATTACGAAGTCAATGGATAATTTGAAAAACAATTATTTAAATACTCCAGGTCATACTAAAGCACCATTATTCGATATGATTCCATTATCAAATTATGTGTTTGATGAATTACACGTGTTATTAAGAATTGAAGATAGACTTTGAACATTAATATTATCGGAACTTAAGGAAAAAACTTATTTAATAATCTTAGTCGCCAAATAATTGTAAATGAAATGGAACGACTTAAAATTAAGTTTCACTTTTGGGAAGAAACAAATACTTGGAAATATACATCACTAACAGGTGACGATAAAATTAAAGTGTTACAGTACTTTAATTTAGGTATTCTATTTCGTCCAAGTCGAGCCCAATTAATTCGATCATTGTGGGACAAGTTTATCGATTTGTATAAAGTAATGTGTGATCCAACTAACGATTCTTTATACTTAAAACATTTAGCATTTGAATGGTTAAATCTTTTTTTAAAACCTGATGAAAGAGATTCTAAAAATCCACAAAACATTATTAAGGGTCTTTATTTACCCGTTCATGTAACTCCTTATATGCATTTTATAGTATTTCATGGATGGAAGTTACATCAAAAACATAGACGGTGGGGATTAAAGGCTTTTTCTTGTAGCGCAGTTGAAAAAAAGAATCATGCACATGTATCTTACTTTTTTCGGAAATCTACTATGAATGGTGGAAATCCTCTTAAAAGAACAGCGGCTACAATTGAAATTTTAGAGCATGAATCTCGAAATCTTTTTTTTGCTTATAATGATTTCTCTAAATTACAACAAAAAATTAAAAAACTTTGTATTAAATAATT